GCATAGCGTTCAGCAGGCCGCCACCCAAGTGTGCTGTCCGGTGGCGACGGTGGTGTGGGCGAGCAACCCCCATGCGCGCCAGCATTACCTGGCGCTGGGGTTTCGTGTGGAAGAACAGACACCGGCGGCGCAGCGGTTGGTGTGGTACCCGCCTCAGTTGAACACGATGCAAAAGTAACCGCGCTCGCCGTCACGCCCCATGGCGGGCTCGCGGGACACGAACACGTGTTCCAGGCACACATCCGGCAAGGGCATGCGGCATAAACCGTCGACGAACTCCGTCGGGCCGAGGCTGTTGAGAGACACACTGAAGCCCTCGCGTACGCTGCCCGGGAAACCGGACTGTGGCGACGGGCGCAGCCCCTGGACCTGAATTTGAAGTGCCGAGCCATCCGGCAGGTACAGCACGCTAGGCTGGGTCAGCAAGGGGCGAAAGTGTTCGAGGGTGACCTGATTCAACATGGTTCGGCTCCGCATCGGAAGTGCCGAGGCCCATGGGCCTCGGCCGGGGGGCATCATGGGCGTGAAGGATAAAGTCCTTCCAAGGCAATGCTGAAGTTGATCGCCAGATAGGGGTTCATAATGCCAACGGCCTGGCTCTGGCCGGCGCTGGCCGTCTCGCCGCTCAAAGCGCTGGTGACGCCCTTGAGTGGTACCGGGTTGGCGCCTTGTTGATCGGAATAGATCGTAGCGCTGCCCGGTCCTGGGCCAGAGGCGCCGATGTAGGCATTGGTAGGCGTAGGCACCGTTACTGGGTTGCTGACTACGCTGGTCAGTTGCACCGTGGTGTTGCCTGCGAGTGTGCCTGCGCCATGGGTGTGGGCGGGGAGGTTGCCGGCCAGCAGCGTGACCGACTCGCTGCCCGAGAATGCACCGATCGCATGGGGCGACAGCCCCGTGCCTTGGCCCATGCCCACCGGCACGCGGCTTTGCAGGTTCGGCAGTTGGAAGGTGGACTGACCGTTGCCGCCGTAGAAGGTGCCAATCAACGAAAACAGCACGGCGTTCTGTTGCACAGCCACGATCTGGCCATTGCATAACGCCCAGCCATTGGGTGCGTAGTTAAAGGCAAAAGACTGGATGGTGCCGATAAATACTTCCATGAGTCGCGAATCCTTGTGTGAGCTCTAGGGTCTTGGACGACGCCTATCGATCGGGCGCCATCGCAAAGCGTAGACGCACATTTGCGCTACGCCCAACGGTTGCGAAACCGCGAGCGAAACCTGGGCTTTTGCCCTAGAGTTGCGCGTGTTTGCGCATGTGTGGCGTTTACCCGGGAAACCGGCGGTATCAGGGGATTTGAGGTGCGACGGTCTGTGGTCGAGCAAGACGAAAAAGTGGGCCCATTTGCCGTAGCGGGCGCCTGGGAAGGCAGCCGTTGGCTGAGCCGGTTATGGTGGGTGCCGATCCTCGCGCTGGCCATAGCCACGCGGTTCTATGGCTTGACGGCCGCGGCGATCTGGGGCGACGAAGGTTCGAGCCTGCTGCTGAGCGAATATGCCGTAGACGACCTGTGGTTTCACGCGGCCCATGACGTGCACCCGCCGCTGTACTTTTTCATGTTACGTGGCTGGATCGAGCTGTTTGGCGACGGCATCTGGTCGATTCGTGCCATGAGTGCGATCCCCGGCGTGGTCGCCGTGGGCCTGGGCGTGTGGCTGATGCGGCAACTGTCCACACGCCGCGCTGCCGCGCTGGCGGGCGTGCTGCTGGCGTTGTTCCCAAGCGCCGTGCGCTACAACCAGGAAGTGCGCATGTATTCGCTGCTGGCCGTGTGGCTGCTGGGCGCCACGCTGGCGCTGGTGTACTGGGTGCGCCAGCCCGAGCGCACGCGGTGCCTGGTGGCTTATGTGTTGTTGATGGCGGCCGGTTTTTATACCCACTACTTCACAGCGTTGTGCGTGCTGGTGCACTGGGCCTGGCTGGGCGTGTTGTGCCGCTCCCAGGCGCCCGGCCAGCGCCTGCTCACGCGTCCGGTGTGGTGGTGCGCAAATGCCGCGATTGTCGCGTTGTACCTGCCTTGGCTGCCGAACCTGCTGGATCTTGTCCAGCATGTCGAACAGCTCAAGGTCGGCGGTGATATTGGCTGGGAAGACCCGGTCACGCTGACCTCTGTGCCTTCGATGATCTGGCAGTTCGTGCTGCAGGATGAAGGTGTCGGCTTCTGGGCACCGCTGTTCTGGCTGTTTCCGCTATCGCTGGTGGCGGCGGTCGCGGTGACCGTCTGGAAGGAACGGGATAGTTACTCTCCGGCCTGTCTGCTGGCGCTGTTTTTTATGCTGCCGCTGCTGGTGGTATACGGCGTGTCGTTTGTATCGCCTGTGTTCATCGAACGTTACCTGACGGTGTATGCCCTCGGCTTGCCAATGCTCATTGCCCTGGCCATCGAGCGTCTGCCGACGCGCCTGTCGTGGCTCGGGGCGGCGTTGCTCGTGGTATTTGTCGGCGTTGAGCTGCTGGGTTTGAAGAACAACGCCACGGTGGATGTGCATGACCAATTCAACGTGCCGGTGGAGTTCGTCAATCGCAATTACCAGGAAGGCGATCGCATCGTGCTCAGCGACATGATGTGGTACTTGAGCTACGTGTATTACGACCAGACCGACGCCCAGTTGCAGCTCTACACTCCGCCCAAGCCCGACGGCACACTGACCCGGCCAAACGCCTATGGTTTCGGCACCCTGGTGGATCAGGACGGTGGACGCATTTACCTCGACCGTCTGTCGGCTTTACCCGCCCAGACCCGCCGTGTCTGGCTGATCAGTAGCAACGAAATGCCGGATGATTTCGCGCCGATTCCCGACGGTTGGCGCCAAGTGTTGCAGCAAGATGGCGGCGGTGCGCGGGCGCGGCTGTTTTTGCTGTGTGTGGGGCCTGACTCTATGCAGCCTGAGTTAATTTCGAAACAGTATTAAATCGGATGCGAGTAGTGGCAATTTCATACTAGTGGCTGTAGCAATCCTGAGCTAATCTTGGTGACAAAGGAATTGTCCTACAAAGTGGTGAATGGATTGCCGTATCACTTTATTTCCGGCTTGCCGCGCTCCGGCTCGACCTTGCTTTCTGCCATCTTGCTGCAGAACCCGCGCTTTCATGCGGGCATGAGTAGCCCCGTGGGCCTCCTATTCAATGGCGTGCTGGCGCAGTGCAGCGCCGGCAGTGAATTTGGCTCGGTGATTGACGCCGACACCCGCCGCCGCCTGCTGCGCGGCCTGTTCGATTCCTACTACGCCGACAAACCGCCACGCCCGTGGTGTTCGACACCAATCGCCAGTGGTGCGCGCGCATGCCGGCGCTGCATGACCTGTTTCCCCAAGCCAAAGTCATCGCCTGCGTGCGCAACGTCGCATGGATCATGGACAGCCTGGAGCGCCTGTACCGCGCCAATCCCTTCGAAAATACCAAGCTGTTCAACGACGATGTCGAGCGCAACACGGTGTACAGCCGTGTCGAGACCCTGGCCCAGCGCAACCGCATGGTCGGGTATGCATGGTCGGCGCTCAAAGAGGCGTACTACGGTGAACACGCCGGCTCGATGCTGATCGTCGACTACGACCTGCTGGCCCAGGCCCCCGAGCGGGTCATGCGACTGGTCTACGAATTCATCGGTGAGCCGTGGTTCGAGCATGACTTCGACAACCTCAGCTACGACGCACCGGATTTCGACCAGGACCTGGGCGTAGCCGGTCTGCATCGGGTCAAACCACAGGTGGCGTTGCAAGCGCGGCGCAGCCTGCTGCCGCCGGATCTGTTCGAGCAGTTCGCCCATATGGATTTCTGGCGTGACGGCAGCTTGAGCGCTGCCAATGTGATTCGCACCAAAGCCGACGCCGCGATCAGTTGATCGCGGTTTTTTTATTTGTGGGTATCAGCATTCGACAAGCGGGTGAGCAGCATGTGGTGGAGCAAAGGCAAGGCACGGCAAACGACAACGCGCGCGCGCACGCAGGCGACGCCGATGATCATGTCCCTGGAACCGCGCATGCTGTTCGACGGCGCGGTCGCCGCCACGGTGGCTGATGTGGCGCAGGCCGACAGCCATGCCACGGCTGCCGATGCGGCCGCCAAGGCGCCGACCGCCGAGCACGCCGGCGCCGTCGGCGAAACCCACGGGCAAACCGATGCACCCGTGACTCCGGCCCCGGTCACTGTGCCGGGTGAGTCAGTCGTATTCGTCGATGCACGGGTCAAGGACTCCGCCGAGTTGCTCAAAGGCGTCGCCCCCGGCACCCAGGTGGTGCAGTTGGATGCGAGCAAGGACGGCCTGCAACAGATCGCCGATTACCTGGGCAGCCACCAGGGCGTCAGCTCGGTGCAGATCATCGCCCACGGCAACTCGGGTGACCTGTGGCTGGGCAACACCTATTTATCGGCAGACAACATCGCAGCTCGTAGCGAGGTGCTGGCGCAGATCGGGCAGGACATGAACGTCGGCGGCGACATCCTGATCTACGCCTGCAACACGGCAGCGGGCGATAGGGGCGTCAACTTTGTCGACTCGCTGGCGCAGCTGACCGGGCGCGATATTGCCGCGTCCAGCAACCGCACCGGCGCGGGCAGCGACTGGACCCTGGAAATCGCCACCGGCTCCATCGAGAGCCGCACCGCGCTGGCCTACGGGAGCATGTCGGGGTATCAGTACAGCCTGGCGACGGTCACGGTGCTCAATAATGGCGACAGCGGTGTCGGCAGCTTGCGGCAGGCCCTGAGCTCCGCGGTGTCGGGGGATACCGTGGCCTTCGGTGCTGACATGACGATCAACCTCAACAGCCAGCTGATCATCAGCAAGAACCTCACCATCGACGGCGATCGCAACAATGATGGTGTGGCGGACGTGACCCTCAGCGGGCAGTACAAAACCCAGGTACTGCTGGTCAACTCCGGGGTCACCGCGACCCTGGATGGCCTGATCATCACCAAGGGCCTGGTAGCCGGCAACGGCGCTGCGGCGGGGACCGACGGAACGGCGGCGATGGGCGGCGGTATTGTCAACTTCGGTAACCTGACCTTGACCAATGTCACCGTCACCAGTAACGCAGCCTCGGGTGGCGGCGGCGGTGGCGGAGTTACCGCGCCTTACGTCGGTGGCGCGGTCGGTGGCGGGGGTGGCGGGGGCGGCGCTCTCGGCGGACAATTCGGTGGTCACGGTGGTTCTTCAGGCTTTGGGACCGGCGTGTATGGCGGTACTTCCGGCACTGCCAACGCCGGCGGCACCGGCGGCGGCTATCACCCCAGTTACATGGGCGGCAAAGGCGGTACCAGCGTCGGCGGCGCAGGGGGGGTGGGCGTAGCCAACTACAGCAATGGCGGGGCCGGTGGCACGGCGAACAATGGCACTATTTCCATTGGCGGCGGTGGTGGCGGCTCCGGTTGGGACAAACCTGGCCGTGCGGGCGCCTCGGCCAGTGGCGGTATCTACAATGGCAGCACCGGCACATTGACCGTTGTCGGCACGTCGGTGATTACCAACAACATCGCTGCCGGCGGCGGGGGTGGTGGCGGTGGGGGCCTGGGTGGTTCCGCCGATTCGGGTGGCGCGGCCGGCAAAGGCGTCGGAGCGATCTGGAACAAAGGCACGCTGTTGATGACGGCTGCCAACTTTGCGGCCATGAGCGGCAACGTCGGTGGCAGCGGCTCCGGTGGCCCTGCGTTGGGCGGCGGTTCCACGGGCGCCTCCGTAGCGGCCGTGAACAACATCTTCAATGACGGCGGCACGGTGAACACGGCTTACGCCCCGGCTCCGACCGCGACCATCGTGGTTGCGACCCCGGGCCAGCACCTGGGTACGAGTTCGGTAGTAACCATTACCTTCAATCAGGCAGTCAACGGTTTCACCCTGGCCGATCTGACGGCTACCAACGGCGCACTCACTAACCTGACCACCAGCGACGGTGGCAAGACCTGGACCGCGACCTTCACCCCGGACTCGAACGTCGCCAGCACGCCCGGCCAGATCACCCTGGACAACACCGGGGTCACCAGCCAAGCGCTGGGAGTGGCGGGCATCGGCACCACCGTGTCCAACAGCTACACCGTCGACACCGTACGCCCGACCGCGACCATCGTGGTCGACAGCCCGGCGTTGAAAGCCGGTGGCTCGTCCCTGGTACACATCACGTTCAGCGAGGCAGTGAGTGGTTTCAGCCTGTCGGACTTGACGGCGGCCAACGGCACCCTGAGCAACCTGAGTTCCAGCGACAATATCCACTGGACCGCGACCCTGACCCCGGCTGCCGGCAACGACACCAGCGGCAACAGCATCACCCTGGACAACACGCTCTATACCGACATCGCGACCAACGCCGGCAGCGGTACGACCACCTCCAACACCTACGTGATCGATACCGTGCGGCCGACCGCGACCATCGTGGTATCCGACACCGCGCTCAACATCGGCGGTTCGTCCCTGGTACACCTCACTTTCAGCGAAACGGTCAACGACCTGGACCTGACCGACCTGAGCGCATCCAATGGCAGCCTGAGCAATCTAGTCCAGGTCGATGGCACCCACTGGACGGCAGTCCTCACACCCAACGCCGCGGTCAACCACAGCGGTAATTTCGTCACGCTCAACAACACGTTGATTACCGATGGTGCGGGCAATGCTGGCAGCGGCACGACCCAGTCCAACACCTACGCCATCGATACCGTGCGGCCGACCGCGACCATTGTGTTCAGCGCGACCAACCTGGGGATCGGCCAAACGTCGCTGGTGACCATCACCTTCAGCGAAGCCGTGACCGGGTTTACCAACAATGATTTGACGGTGACCAACGGCACCCTGAGCCCGGTCATCACCAGTGATGGCGGCATCACCTGGAGCGCCATCTTCACGCCGACCGCCGCAATCGTCAGCGCAAGCAACCACATCACCTTGGACAACACCGGGGTCCAGGATGCAGCTGGCAACGCCGGCAGCGGTACCACCACCTCCAACAACATTGCCATCGATGGCGTGCGCCCGACGGCGACCGTTGTAGTCACCAACGACACGCTGAAAATCGGCGACACCTCGCAGGTGACCATTACCTTTTCGGAAGCCGTGGTCGGATTCACCAACGCCGACCTGACGATCGCCAACGGCACGCTGTCGCCGGTGAGCAGCCTCGACGGCGGCGTCACCTGGACCGCAACCTTTACCCCGAGCGCGAGCACCACCGACGCCACCAACCTGATCACCCTGGACAACACCGCCTACAGCGACACCAGCGGTAATATCGGCACCGGCACCACCAGTTCCAACACCTACAGCATCGACACCGAGCGGCCGACCGCGACCATCGTTGTCGCTGACCCGGTGCTGACCGCTGGGCAAACCTCGCTAGTGACTATCACCTTCAGCGAAGCGGTGAGCGGTTTCAGCCTGGCCGACCTGAATGTCAGTCAAGGCAGCCTGAGCGGCTTGAACAGCGCCGACGGCATTACTTGGACCGCGACCTTCACGCCGGCTACGAATACCAACAGCGCAACCAATGCCATCACCCTGGCCAATGCCGGTGTCAGTGATCTTGCTGGCAACGCGGGCTCCGGCACGACCCAGTCGGCCAACTTCACCATCGACACCGTACTGCCGACGGCGACTGTCGTGGTGGCGAATCCAGCGTTGAATATCGGCGGCACGTCCCTGGTGACCATCACCTTCAACGAGGCGGTCACCGGTTTCAGCAACGCCGACCTGACCATCACTAACGGCACCCTGAGCGGGGTAACCACCATGGATGGCGGCATCACCTGGACCGCGACCTTCACGCCGAGCAACAACCTCGCCGACGCCACCAACCAGATCACCCTCGACAACAGCGGGGTCCAGGCGGCGGTTTCGGGCAATACGGGTTGGGGCAGCAGCGCTTCCAACAACTACGCTATCGACACCCAGCGCCCGACCGCCACCGTGGTGGTGACCAACGAGCACCTGGGCATCGGTAGCACATCCCTGGTGACCATCACCTTCAGCGAAGCGGTGACGGGTTTGAGTCTGGCCGACCTGACCACCGACAACGGTACCCTCAGCAGCCTGAGCACCAGCGACAACATCACCTATACCGCGACCATGACGCCGGTAGCGGGAGTCAGCCAGAACAACAACCGGATCGTCCTGGATAACACCGGTGTGGTCGATATCGCCGGCAACGCCGGCTCCGGAATCACCGAATCCAACACCTACGCGCTCGACAGCGTGCGCCCGACCGCGAGCATCGTGGTGGCCGATCCGGTGTTGAGCGCCGGTGAAACTTCACTGGTGACTATCACTTTCAGCGAGGCGGTGACCGGGTTCGATAACAGCGACCTGAGCGTGGCCAATGGCATCCTGAGCACTGTGAGCAGCAGCGACGGTGGTATCACTTGGACCGCCACCTTCACGCCGACCGCAGGTGTCCACGACACCACCAACCTGATCAGCCTGAGCAATGCGGGCGTGAGCGACCTGGCCGGCAACGCCGGCACGGGTATCACCAACTCGGGTAACTTCACCATCGACACCGTGCGACCCACGGCGACCATCATCGTGGGGAACCCGGCCCTGAGTATTGGTGCGAGTTCATTGGTGACCATCACCTTCAGCGAAGCGGTCACCGGCTTCACCAACGCCGACCTGACCGTCGCCAACGGCACCCTGAGCACTGTGACCAGCGGCGATGGCGGCATCACCTGGACCGCGATCCTTACGCCGACCACCAGCGTCACCGACGCCACCAACCTGATCACCCTGGACAATACCGGTGTGAGCAACGCCTCGGGCAATGCTGGTAGCGGCACCACCGACTCGAACAATTACGCGATTGATACTGTGCGTCCTACGTCCACCATTGTGGTCGCGGATGCGGCGCTGAGCCTCGGTCAAACTTCACTGGTGACCATCACGTTCAGCGAGGCGGTGAGCGGTTTCACTAACGCCGACCTGACCATTGCCAATGGCACCCTGAGCACGGTGAGCAGCAGCGACGGCGGTATCACCTGGACCGCAACGTTCACCCCGACCGCCAGCATCACCGACATCAGCAACGTGATCACCCTGGACAACACCGGCGTCACCGACCTGGCGGGCAACGCAGGCGCAGGCACCACCGACTCCAACAACTACAGCGTCGACAGCCAGCGGCCGACGGCCACGATTGTCATGAGCGACAGCGACCTGCGCCCGGGCGAAACCTCATTGGCGACCATCACCTTCAGCGAGGCCGTCACCGGCTTCGACAACAGCGACCTGAGCGTGGCCAATGGCAGCCTGAGCAACGTCAGCAGCAGCGACGGCGGCATCACCTGGACGGCAACGTTCACGCCCACGTTGAGTGTGACCGACACCACCAACCTGATCGTGCTGAACAACACCGGCATCTCCGACCTGGCGGGCAACAGCGGCACCGGCACCACCAGCTCCGCCAACTATGCCGTGAACACCGAGGTGCCGACGGCAACCGTCGTGGTGGCCGACACGCAACTGAAAGCGGGCGAAACCACCCAGGTGACCATCACCTTCAGCCAGGCCGTCAGCGGCTTTACCAACGCTGACCTGACCCTCGCCAACGGGACTCTGAGTGCGGTCAGCAGCAGCGATGGCGGCGTTACCTGGACCGCGACGCTCACGCCGACCAGCAATATCACCGACACCAGCAACCTTATCGTGCTGGACAACAGCGGCGTGACAAATGCCTCGGGCAACAGTGGCGTCGGCACCACGGACTCCAACAACTACAGCATCGATACCCAGCGGCCGACCGCGACCATCACCGTGGCGGACGCCCTCCTGGGCATCGGGCAAACCACCACGGTCACTGTGACCTTCAGCGAAGCGGTCAGCGGGTTTGACCTGTCGGACCTGAGCGTGGCCAACGGCACCTTGTCCAACCTTGCCACCAGCGACGGCGGCAAGACCTGGACGGCCACGTTGACGCCGACCGGCGCAATTACTGACCCCACCAACCTGGTGGTGCTGGACAACGGCCTGGTCAACGACGCTGCGGGCAATGCCGGTGCAGGCATTGCGATTTCCAACAACTATGCGCTCGACGCCGACCGGCCAACTGCGACTATCTCCGTCGCCAACCCGAACCTCACTGTCGGCCAGACCACCACGGTAACGTTCACCTTCAGCGAGAAAGTCAGTGGCTTCGACCTGGATGACCTGAGCGTGGCTAACGGCACCTTGTCCAATCTGTCCACCAGCGATGGCGGCAAGACCTGGACGGCCCTTCTCACGCCGACGGCCAACCTTAATGACCCGAGCAACTTCATCACCCTCGACACCAGCCTGGTGACGGATGCGGCGGGCAATGCCGGAAGCGGTTTCAGCAACTCCGGCAACTACGCGATCAACACCGTCGCGCTGACCGGCGACCCGCTGTTCCGCGTCGATGGCCCGATGGCGCCACCGAGTGCGCCGGACGCGCCGCTGCAACCGATCATCTTTGGCCCGCCCAGCGGCAACTTGGGCTCGCCGATTGGCTTCCCGGCATTGTTCGAGCAGCGTGAATTGGGTGGCGGCTTGCCACCGATCGGCAACATCTTTATCCGCAACAACGCCCTGGCGCCGAGTTATATCGCCCAGGTATTCGGCATCGATGGCGGCAATGCTGCGGGTGCCTCTGGGTTCCTTGGGTTTGGCGGCGGCGATGGCGGGGTGTTTGGTTCAAGTACCTTGTCGGGCCTGTTCAACCGCGAAAACCACGGTGACGCGAGCGACTCCAAAGCGTTCGACAGCAAGTCGATCAAAAGCTCGGGCGGTGCACTGGGTGCGCCGACCTTCGGCCAGCAATTGCACCAGATCAACGACAAAGAACAGCGCCAGGTCATGGACTTGGCGCTGGCACTGCAGCAGGTCGGCATCAGCGAAATGCAGGCTTGAACACACTCAATTAAAGACGCAGGAACAGGGGCAGTCCACGGATGAATACAGCTCAAAAGTTATTTGGTGCCAGCTTGCTGGCTCTTGCAATCAGCGGGTGCGCAGTCACCAGTGACCCCATCGAGCGCAGCGTCAGCGAGCAACGCGCGCGCAGCGATCTACACGGCATGTACAAGGATCAGGAACCGTTGAGCGGCCCGCTGACCCTGCACGAGGCCATGGCTCGCGCGGTCAAGTACAACCTCGAAGGCCGTTTGAAGGTGATGGAAGAGGCGCTGGCCAAGCGTCAATCCGACCTGTCCAGTTTCGACATGCT